TCGTTCTATCGTTCTATCGTTCTATCTATCGTTCTATCATTCTATAATTTTATCTATCTATCTATCTATCGTTCTATATCTATCGTTCTATATCTATCTATCTATCTATCTATCGTTCTATCTATCTATCGTTCTATCTATCGATCTGTCTATCTATCGTTCTAACGTTCTGTTGTTCTGTCTATCTATCATTCTATCCTATCTGTAATAATTATAAAGGCTTATTTGTATGCATAATTTATACTTTTTTTTTTTTTTACAAATTTTTATAATGATTCTGGCATTAAAGTAGCATGGAATGCAGAAGAGGTTATTTAAGGAATTTCTTAATTGCATAAATCGTTCAGATTTATATTGTGTTTGGGCTGTAAGAAGGTGTTCTCTTTAATATCTCAGTTACTCCTTTAAGCTGTTATTTCATTAGCTTTGTGTACATAAGGTTGTGCATGTGATGTAGTTTCCTTAAACAAGGCAACATCTGTGGCAGGATTCAGGTCATGCATTGCAGACATGGTATTTACCGCCGTCTTTGTGTCATGATATTTAATAATGTAAACGTCGTGGACATGATGATCCACATATTCTGACATGCAATACTCTGTAAAGACTATATAAATCTATATTTCATTGTTTGTGTGATCATAGTGCACAGGAAGCTTGTGGTTTAGGATGAGGTCTGAAGATTACTCTGTCGTGTGCGTTTGTGACATTAAACGTCAGGAATGCCTCTGGATTTTTATGAGTGTGTCAGCATGCATTCATCCAGTCGTGCCCTTTAGACAGTGGGCTGCCGTAGCTTTCAGCAATGCAATCCAACGGGAATACTTGTGTGCAGATGAGGAGCGAGTGAGCGGAGGAGGAAATGTGGTCTAGGGTGATGCCGCGGGCATTAAACGTATAATGTTACATGTACATTAAATGCAGCTTTATTCTGCTTTTTAATAACGAGTGGAGAGTTATGCTGCTATCTGAACTTTTCCAGAGGATGTTTATGTGAGAAGGTTGAAGCCACAGGCTACTTTTGCTCTGTGTTTTAAGAGATGACAAGCTCTCCCTCTCTAATTAGTGGCGTTTGCTAAGGCAACCATCACTATTGCATTGCTTTTGTGCCCACAGCAAAATAAATCATAATTTACTTGACTTGTAAAAGTGAGTTTGCAGTCTGTATTCAATGTGATGTAACAAAAAGATTAAAATAATAGCAAGAAACATTTAAGTTATCCTCCTCAGCGGGTTGCATGCATACGGTATGCTTGCGGTATGTGTGATTCACAAACAGTGACTCTTAAGAACCAGTTTTTTCCTTGCTGCTCAATCTATGCTTTTGCGGCACGGTAAAAGAAATCATGTTTTACCTGAATTGTGAATGTGAGTTTGCGTTCTGTATTGAGTGTAATGCAATATGTGTACTTAAAAATAATGCAGAAAATCCTCTTTCTACTCAGCAAAAAGAGAAGCATATTTTAAAATAATTGCTCCCTTTAAAAGGAAATAATTTAATTTTAGGCATGTATAATTGCATATAAGAGAATTCTTGCGTGTGGAAATTTCATGAGGGTGAGAAAATGATGACAGAATGATCATTTTTGGGAAACCCTCTAAGCCTAAATATTGCTTTTCAGTGGCAGTACTTGAGGAGATAAGCTCACATACAGTACCCGACTGAGAACATGCCCCTGAAGGGAATTTTCTCTAATGGTCTTTCAGTCTAGAGGATCTCAAATGACCAGTGCTGATATTGTTTCAGGTACCATAAAAGTCAAGCAATCTATCTGGAGTCCAAGGAGAACACCAAGATCAGCTGTGTCATCAGCTCTGTGGGGACCAATGAGGTTTGTGTCTGATTCTCTCCTCTGATTGGTGCAAAAAAATTACTGTGCTGTTCAAACTAATGACCTGCTCAGAGGGGGAATAAACAGCAGGTTATTGAGATCAGCCCAAGTGCATCAGCTTTGGAGGGCCAGAAGAGGAAAATTCTCATTTATTGTCATCTGCATCCATATCAAATTGTACAAGGATGTCTTTGCAATAGCTTTTGTCTCATTTGCATCCTTTTAATGCCAGCATCAGTAGCACACTGCATAGATCTGGACTTTTACATGCTGAGCCAGTGGCTTTGGAGTACAAATCACTGTTTGGGATTCATTTGGATGCTGGAAGAAGGTGGTGCGGGATAAATACTGAAGTGCTTTGTCTTGGATTTCGACTCTCTTGCAGATCTGGGTGAGAAAGACAAGTGACAGTACGAAGATGAGGATCTATTTAGGGCAGCTGCAACGAGGGGCCTTCATCATTCGACGCCGATCAGCAGCATAGACGTCCTGTATGTGTATGTGTATGTGTGTGTTTTTTTTTTTTTTAAAACAAACATTTTAAAGCTCTTCCTGTTTTACCAAGTCAGCTACTACATGTTTAAGCATGATATTTCCTCCTGTCTCTCATCTTATTTTTCTATCGCTCTCACACGTATTGTATAGATGTTACCGAAGTATATCATGAAATGTCTCACATTTATCTTTATTTTTGCCTTTTTCTTCTCTATGAACTTTGCATTGTATGTGTAATGCAGTCTCAATGTCTGAGGTAAGGCTGATTTCAAAGAGCTCTCTACGATGAAGCGAGTAGACGACAATACACTTTGGGATTGTATTCTGTTACCAGTGAGGCATTTACAAATCTTATTTAGTTGTGGTTTTTTTGCTTTGATATGTAATGCCATAATCTATTCTCTCCATGCACAGGATTTCAAATTACTTTGCTAGTTTTAATTTTGTATTCAGGTGAATATTAAATAAATTTGGCTCAAACAGTACAAAACAACATTTATTTTCTCCCCATTAACAGTGCTGTAAGTTGACCTTGTTTTTAATGCCCTTCTACTTGCATGTATAATCAGAAGCATTCATTTACATTTGTATTTATGTTCCTGGCAGAAGTTAAAAAAACAACAACAACTTGCAAGCAAATATTGGCAGGTTGCTTAAATGTTTGTAGTGCGTAGGTATACTAACCTTAGATCTCACGATTTTTATTATTTTTGGAATGCGTGTTGTGTTTATATTCTAACATTGATTAAAGCACTAGTTTACCAAAAAATGAAAATTCCAAAATTAAGACACTTTTAACTTCAAATGAGTCCTCTCTATAGCATTGCTATCTGCAGTGAAAAGTCATCTGGTCTGAATCAGGACAGAAATATGCACAGAAAACAGTCCAAATGGTTCTGAACAAATATGTTGGTTTATTTTGATGAGAGGGGACAACAGTGGATGGACTTTTTCACTGGAGGAAGTGTTATTATGGACTCTATGGTATTTTAGCTGGAAGTGATAGTTTAAAGTTAAAACACCTTTATGATAGGTTTGTTTCTTACAAACCAATTCACTGCAGAAGATCTATTGGTGAGCAAGTGATTTAAGGCTAAATTGAAGAAACAAACTCCTTTAACCCTTGTGTGACCTTTTGGACATTTTTGTCTTTTACAGTTTTTTTTTTTTATCATTTTGCCTATGTTATTGCCAACTGCATACATTTTGGCACAGGTGTGTATTTTTATTGGAATTTTACTATTTCACTTCCATTTCCTTTAATAAATCTGTTTTGCACTAGGTACAAAAAATTGTTCCTCTCAGGACCTTAAGGACAAAAATGTCCCCATTGAAACCCATTAAAACTGCTATTTTTGCTATATATTATATACAGTATATAGCAAAAATAGCATATATATATAACAATATATATTTTATATAAAACATCGTTCATAAATCATTTTCATAAACCTAAACATCTAGAACTTTTTTTTTGGTTTCACTTTTTAAACTTTTTTTACTTCAACAATAATCTGCCATGGGTCTTCTTTAAAATGAGACCAAACTTAACTCTGTGCTCCCAAGCTTCAAATTTTTATGACAGTTTTTTTGACATTGACATTTTTGTCCGCTATGGACCTATGTGTAACTTTTTTTAATTGACGCACAAGGGTTAAATCATGGATGGCCTGAGGATGAGTAAAATTCATTGGAGGTCATTTCTCATTTGCATAGTTGAAATTGTCTAAACTTAGTTGCATGCCCAACTGTTGCTTCAAATTGCATCAGTTCACTTTATTGATAAAGCAAGTCACAGAAAGATGTTTGTGATTACTACGATTACAACAGGTAGCTTAAGATGCTTCACGAAAATTCAAAAGTCTAAGTTAGGATTGTACAGTATAGGAATGATATTTCCATTCACTTATGTGAGTTAAATGATGACAAAACTATTCTCCCTATTCACCATCCAAGCTGTAGATGAGGTTATTTCTTCATCAGAACAGATTTGGTGAAGTTTTGCATTACATCATTTGCTCACCAATGGATCCTCTGCAGTGAATGGGTTCCGTCCATCCATCTTCAAGACGTTTGTAACTTCAAACCATTGATTCTGGCTAAAATGATGAGTCCTCTATCCATAATATTCCTTTCTCCAGTGGAAAACGTCATCCTGTCTCAATCAGGAGAGAAATATGCACAAATCAAGTACCGTTTACAAGTGGAAACTGTCCAAAACCGTTCTAAACAAATATGTTGGGGGATTTTGATGAGAAGACAACAGGAGATGAAGCGTTATTATGGAATATGGTCTTATATTTTGTCCAGTTCCAAGACACCTCAATGATGGATTTGTTTCTTACAAACACACAGCTTCACTTAGATGTGAAGGTTTCAAGGAAATGCATAAAAAATTGGTAAATGAAAACTAGAAAACGTTTTTTTGTGAAATCACTGACTGTTGTCTGACAGTCTTTTAGCCATCCGGATCCACTGTCTGTTACCTTATTTTGGATGTCCTGTCATCTTCCAGTCACACTGATTTTTTTTCCTCGCCGTTTCCTCTATGAATGACAGGCCATTCTTTTATTCTCCAGTTCAAAACTAAATTTCTCTCCAAAACACATTATTTTTATTTATTTATTCTGCATTCTGAAAGACTGAATTTCTTGTTCATCTTTTCTGCCGGCATGTCCATTTTAAAGTATTTTATTCTTTTTCAGGAAATAGTCCTTGGTGTCAAATCAATTCATGATGTTTATAAGACATCTTGCATTATTTCCTGACAGAAATGTTCTCCCTTGACATCTTGTTGCTTGTGGTCAAATTGTACTTGTTTAACAGCATTCAAGTAAATTATAATCATCTTTGTTGATGTAACATGCAAATCAGCAGTGATGTAGTTCTTGTTCTAATTCATGCCATATGAACTGAATTCCCATTTACTTTCTCCATAGAGGAAAAGATTTTGAACAGACCTACTGTGAGATACAATATTATTAATCAACGGTATAGGTTTTGTTTAAGCCATCTGCATTATTTACTTTTTTTTTTTTTAACTGTGACATTTCTGGTGAAAAGCTACATTACCCATGATTCTAAAAAAGTCATCTCCACCAATCAGAAATAGTTCTTAAATACTAGTTAAATACTTCTTGGGATTGTGGTTCTTTCCCCCATCAAAGCCGTTGATTTTTTTTTTGTTTTTTTTGTCGATTTTCAAATACTTTCTGCTTCAAATCAAAGTTGTAGTTCATCTTGTAGCTGGTTGGCTTGGTTCAAGGCTTATAACTCTTGAACGAAGACTTTTAAAAAAATCCCGATATGGGAAAAATGAATGGAAAAAATACTTCTAGAATCAAGGCCACTGAAAAGGTTTCACTCTATTTTATAAATCTGTTACATTTAAGAATGAGTCACACAAATGCAGATGCGAGCACCTGGTCTGGTTGAACACACCACCTGACATTAAACAAGATAAGTTATTATTCAGTCTTTACCACACCGTTATCACTAAAGTGTGACACCTGACAGCAAAAGTATATCAGATTTCACGTGAAATGTGAAACCCATGCATGTGAGACTGCACTGTTAAAAATATCACATGGATTCATTCTCAATTTTACCCTCATATGTTACATTTTCAAAAACAATATCTAAACTCCTTTTTAAAGACCTGTTACTAATTATTGCATGGCCTCTGTGAAAATGGGAATCCACGAAAACTCGTTTAGTCTTTTTTGCATTTAAATAGACAGTTCCTCCAGGGCCAATCAGCATTGAATAAATCACCAGTCAAATCGATGATCCCTAATTACCAGAATCAATATTAGTAAGGGTCAGCAAGGGTGCATTAGATGAAAATACATAGTAATGACCAAGTGAATGTTTGCGATAAATTCTCACTATTTATTTCTCTAGAAATCGTCGTTAATCTGTTATTATTTGGTCTGGGGAAAAGGATTTCATTAAGGCTTTTTTCATAATGTGCCTTATTAGTGCGAGCAGCGCTAGTCTATAAATCGTAACCTGCGTCTCACTGCGGTGGGCTTAATTCAAGGGTTCCCTGGACACCAGCTCAGCTTCAGCTTCTCCGTTTCAATCGCTTTTCACACAGTGCTGTGTAGCAGGTGCCCAAACATTCACTGTTCCGCTGTGAATCTGTTGCCGCTCATGGGACGTCTGGCTGGTTGAAGTTTGGCCCCGGGCCCCTCTGGTTTGTTAAGGGGAATATGGGTTTGATATGTGCTTCAGGTCGCTCTGCGTGTTTGTGATTGCTTTATCTGTGAAAGGCAGACCTGTGTGAAGTTGAGGAAGGAAGAAGTACGTTTTGAAGTTTCTGCTTCACTCTCATGAGCAGTGTTGGGGGTCACGCATTACAAGTAACGCGAGTTACGTAATCAGATTACTTTTTTCAAGTAACTAGTAAAGTAACGCATTACTTTTTAATTTACAAGAGAATATCTGAGTTACTTTTTCAAATAAGTAACGCAAGTTACTTTTTTTTTTTCCAATTTATTGACTGACAGCTCTTCTGTCCCCATGTTGAGAGAAATCAGAAGATGTTACTGTAGTTCTAAAATAAATATGAATATCCATTAATTCATCTCACTCTCAAAAAAAAAACAACAACACAGATTCAGTATTCCTCAAAATGAATAAAAATAATGCAACTCGGAATATGACGCAAACCTGCAATAATTAAATGTTAAACAACACAAATATGCTTTATGTATTTAATCCCATTCTATTAACCAATGTCTTTGCTTCTGACCTTCGATGATCCAGTTCAACTATACTAACAAGCCAAAATTACTCTAGACAAACATTTGTTTGTCTTTTTTTATTGCTGAAGTGTGTTGAAATTTCTTCTTCTGCATTCTACTGTACGGACGTACATTTACTTTCCCTTCAGCCTGAGGCTTACTCGTTTCACTTTTGGTGTGAAAAGGCTTTTATGTTTGCCAAAAATAGAACTTTTTTATTTTAAAAACAAATAAGCAAGCCCTGTCCAGATTTAAAAAGTAACGTAACACATTACTTTCCATAAAAAG